GACTCCTTCTGTTTTGAATAAGGAATATATATACCTAGTGGGTAAAACTCAAAAGCTATAGAAGGACAAATAAGTTTTACTCCTACTCGCGTCTACCCCCCGCCACGCACGCCCTGTTCTCACAACCTTGTGTTAACCATTTCTGTGTATCTTTCCGGGAGTATTTTAAGCATGTACAAGCAAATGCTCTGTTGTTGTTTTTTTTTCCCCAGCTTCAGTTCTTTTTACTGTATACTGCTCTATACGTTTTTTTCCACCAAATATAACTTGAAGATTGTTTGATATTAATACATAAACAGCCTCTTCATTTTACAATTAAAAAATATTCCATTGCATGGACATGTAATTTTAATTTAACCAGTCCCCTGGGCCGGCCCGGTGGCACACTGGAGAGTGCACCGCTTGGGAGTGCGGCGGTGCTCCCGCCGAGGGTTCGGATCCCATGTGGAGACCGGTTCCCGCTCACTGGCTGAGCGCGGTGCGGGCGCAACACCGAGGGTTGCGATCCCATTACCAGTCAGTAAAAAAGACAAAAAGGAAAAAAAAATTAATTTAACCAGTCCCCTACTAGTAGATATTTAGGTTGTTTTCCATCTTTTGATCTTTCAGAATAATGCAATGAATGAACCTGTATGTAGATTGTTTATCAGATGTACAAGTATATCTGCAGGGTAAATTCCTAGAAGTGGAATTACTGGGCCCAAAAGTATGTGCATTTGTAATTCTGACCTGTCTTGCCAACTTGCCTTTCATAGAGATTGTATCAATTATACCTTCTCCAGCAGCATGTGAATGCTTTCTCCCCCGCATCCTTGCCAGCACAGTAATTTATCAGACTTTTTCATCTTTGCGCATCTGATAAGTGAAACATAATGTCTTGGTGTACTTTCATTTTACTTTTCGACCTTTAGTATGAAAAATTTCAGACATACAAAAAGGTAGAGACAAAAGCATAATGAACCACTGCCTAAATTTAACAGTTGTTACTATTTTGCCATATTTGGTTTTGTTTGGGGATTTGAAGTATTTTTAAAGTAAATTAAAGATCATCATGACATTTTACCCCTAATCACTTTATTATGTATCTCCAAAAAACAAGAACATTTCCCATCTAAACATTATACCATTATTACACCTAATAAAAATTAACAATAATTCCTTGATCTAATACCCACCTGATATTCAAATTTTTCCAGTTGTCTCAAAAATGTCTTTTATATTAGTTTGTTCACACTTATTAAGGACTATATATTTTAGTGTGTATGTGTTTAATTTGCAAGCTTTGGCCTTTTGTGCCTGTTTGCTGGGCTCATTCCTCTCCCTGTCTCCCCTCCCCTAGTGCCTCTCTGAAGTTTTCTTCACAATGTCCCCAACTACTCCAATTGGACATGGCCCCTCTCCTCTTTAACCCCTCAAGCATTTATTGTATGTGCTATTTATCTGGTAACTAATCCAATATTACCTTGTGACGGCTTTTGTGTTATTCAAAGGAAATGCCATTTTGTGTGGTTGCAATATTAACTTTGTCAGTTTGTGTCTTGTTTCCTCAACTAGATGGCGAGGCCTTGGGGAGAGTGGCTTGCCATATGCCCCACAGCAGCTAGGGCAGGGCCTTGCACATGGTAATAGCAGTAGTGATTGTGACAGTGGTAGTCACACTGCTGCAAGCTTTCTGTGTGCCAGCACTCTCCATGTATGCGGTCACTCATTAGTGGATACATTTCTGAGAGTTTCGGTGTCATGGGTATATTTGACCTCAAACTAAACCTTTGAAGGGGAGTGTGAAAGAAAGGTCACTGATCATGATACCTAGACAGTAATTCTGGATCAGAGCTGATCAAGGAGGAAGATGAGTCTTCTAGGGGAAGGCCTAACCCATCGGAAGGAATGAAGACAGCTCCCTGGGAAGGGAAGGGAAAGGAGGAGGACAGAGAAGAATGGAGAGGCCCTGGTTCTGATGGCAGCAGGGGCTGTGAGCCAGTCCATGCTGGGGGAGTCACCCCCTTTCCTGCACTGGCAGGGTTAGGATTCTGGAAACAAGGCCCGGCTCCTGGCAAGGCCTTGCCAAGGCCTCCTTTCCATAGCAGGTCTCTGCAGGATGGCCTGAGTCCCCTGGGAACAGCAGGCCTGGTGCACAGCTGCCTCCCCTCTGTCCACACCACCAGGATTCCCAGCCCAGCTGGCTCTGGGCCACCATCTCTCCTACACTTGGAAGGCTCCCAGTGAGCTTCTGGGCCATGAAGAGTGAATGTGCTGAGCGTGCCGATGTGGAGCAGCCGGAGCAAATGAGCTAATGAAAGTTAATCCCCACCCCTGGGCCTTTTCACTCCTTCTTATCATCATTAGCTTCTCGGAATCCCTTTCATGTCTCAACATTGCACAGTGCTTCAGGGTGCTGGGGATTCTGGGCAATTTCACCCAGAATTCAAGTAAAAGCAGCCAGGAGGCCACCTGCTTATGCTCTAAACCGGTGGCTCCAGCATTTTGGGGTGCAGGAGACGTCATTCATGTATCGAAAACTGGGGAGGTCTGAGGATGCTTTATGATACTTTAGCACCAAAATATGTGCCAGCCCAGAAGCCTAGAATTAAATTCCACGTCCCCAGCTAGAAGCACTTCCTTACCCTTGGACACACACAAGCAAACAGGACTCAGCACCCATGTAATAAAATTTTTGGATTCTTAGATAGGAAAAGGAGGAAGGAAGAAAGGACTTCAGTTTTTTAAAGACACTTACCTCTAAAGGGGCTAAAAATTTCAGCCCCTTAGTGAAAGGTTTCACACTGATTGGAAGGCTTAGCCATTTAAAGGACAGATCTGGTTTGTAGGGAAAGCGCCATGTGACTGTGGCTGGCTCTGTTGAATCCAAATATGCCCCAGAATAAATGTGATTGCTTTCTGTCCATTATTTCATTAAAACTTTAGTTACTAATGGTTACAAAACTATGCTGTCTACCCTAGGTGAATCATTGAACAGTATATGCATGTATTGAAAAAACACGCTGTACCCCGCAAATATGTACAAGTAAATGTTAAAAAAAAAAAAAAGACGAACTTCAGTTACATTTTGCTGAAGCAGCCCTTGAAATCAGGAAAGCAGTTTAATTTGCTGCTGACAAAAAGGGTAAGGAGAAGGGGGTTCCTCCTGAATCTTTACCCAGAGGCCTAGAATGAATGAATGCTATTTTAATTTTGTATTTATTTAAGATTTGTATAGTCAGTAGTAGTACTTTTCCTCTTCTTGGAAGTCTTATTTAGATGGCTGTCATGGAATTTTTCATATATGACTCAAACACATCATATTTATGGTAGAGTCTGTCTGTCTCAAAGATACTATCTGTCTGGTCCTTGAACTCCCCACCTCCACCCAGAGCCTGACACCTGACTGGTGGTACAGTAAACATTTACTGAATGAATTAGCAGATGAATACAGGGTCTGAGTTCCTAACACTAAAATAGCCATGAAGTAGGAAGGAATTTGATGCTACGAGCCTCAGGAGCTGCCGGGATTATACCCTTGAGGCAGCTCTGGCTAAGCTCCTCTTTGTTGTTGTTAAATCAGATGTTTAATAATTTATAAAGCCAACCCTTCCCCGGTTTGGGCTCAGTTGAGCACACATTCAGCCTGCTCGCACAGCCTTGACATTCCTGCCTGGCGGGGCTACTCTGAGTCTGCCCTGGCTGTGACCTACCCCCACACTCCTTCCCCAGGGACCCTCCACAGCCCCCAGGCCCAGCCAGACTGCCAGGTTCGCTCCAGCCCTAAATTTGCAAACCGAAGTGCCCAGAAGCCAACTGCCACAAAACCAAGCAGAATGAGGTTCACTCCTTTCTCTCTCTTCTCTCCTTTGTTTCTATCTCATTTTTTTTTCTTTTTTGCCACTCTTCTCTCTTTTGATCTTTCTCCTCTCTCTCATTCTTTCCCCTTTCTGTGTGCTATCCCAGTCTTCTGTCCTCACTCCAGCATTTTGTTTGCACTTCCCAAGTGCTAACCTGGACGGGTCACCAGCATTCGTTTGTACAGAGGTGCTAAGTAACCTACCTGAACTGGTACAATGTGGGCCAGGATCTTGGTTTGGGTCGATGCTGATTTAGGGTGAGGGTGTCATGTCTCATTCCCAGGACTGAAGATCTAGAACCCCTGCCTGCCATTCTGGTGTGAGCGTGATAGTGTGATGCAATGCATAGCCCCTGCCCAGGCCTTCCTCATCCCTAACCCCACGTGAACCATACATTCTATATACGTTCTCTGTTCCCTTTGCTCATCATTCTCCTGCACCTACCAGGAACTCCTGAGGGCCGGCAATTTGTTATACCTCTCTGTGTCATCAGGCCTAGCACAGGCCTGCCACATGACAGGAATTGAATACTGTTTGTACAGTCAGCCACAATACAGCTATGGAGCACCGACCGCGTGCCAAGCTTGGGGGACAGAGAGATGAATGAGACAGACTTCCCTGGGTTCTAGGAGCCTACATTCCTGCAGGAGAGACTTACCTTTAACTAATACTTGGAAATGCAAATGCAGGAGCCAGGGCACATAAGGGAGACCCGCGCCAGGGGAAGTGCCATTTACAGGAGGAACAGGACTGAGGAGATGGGGGTGGGGCGGAGTAGAGGGTGGAGAGAGAGCGTTCTAGGCAGAGGGGATGTTTGTTAGGTGGGTGAACCTGGCAATGAAATCTGAGCTCGATGGCACAGCAGTACAGAGTATTCTGACTGGTACAGGGAAACAGATGGCTGAATTAGGGGTGTCTTGATACTGTGTGTAAAATGTGGTGATGGTGGGAGCGAGCTCTTCATTGCCTTGGTCCTGATGGTGTGTGGACCAGTGTTGATGAAAGGCTATGCTTTGATCACAAATGCTCTGAGGAAGGGGGTGGAATGAATACATAAATCTCCTCTGCCAGGCATGGGGGAGCCCGGGATGAAGGTAAACTCCATGTCACATTGACCCTGCCAACCTCAGCGCCTCACCCAAGGCTCTTCTCCCCATTCAGATGAGCGGGAAGTTGTTCAGAAAAAGACCTTTACGAAATGGGTGAACTCCCACCTGGCTCGAGTGTCCTGCCGCATCACCGATCTCTACAAGGACCTGCGTGATGGGCGGATGCTCATTAAGCTGCTGGAGGTGCTGTCTGGAGAGATGCTGGTAAAGCTCCTTGTGGGCCCCTTCCCCCTGGGCCCTGTGGCTGGTGTCATTAGCCCCTCCTCAGGAGAGACATGGTCAAGGTTTCTCCCTGCTCCTGTGGGAAGTTCCGGTACTTAACAGTGTGAAGTGTCCATGCGGCTGACTGGGTCCTCTGGCCTCTTCCCAGAACTTCTTTCCTCCTCCTGATCACTCCTACCCCTCCTGCCCCTCCCAGGGCCATGCAGAGCTCCTGACTTCCCCACTGGGGTCTGGGCACCATAGCTACCTGAAGTGGCCTGGCCTCCACCCCCTCACATGGATTGCTGGAGGAATTTGCAGCCCTCTTAGAACCAAGAGAGAGGCGTGGGAGATACTTTTCTGTGTGTTTTACTGCTCTTGCAAGTGGACATCTGTTAGAGGCCCTCTCAGTTGTAACCCACCCAGCATTACTGCTGCCCCTGAAGAGAAGTAGATGAAGGTTCATGTCTTGCTCAGTTACTTCCCTAGTGACCTTGGGCCTATCAGGCAGGATCCTCTGCCTTCATTTCCCCCATGTGTAAAATGGGGTGACGATACTTGTGCCTGATGAAGTGCTCTGAGATACTTGGGGTTTGAGTGAAAAGGTACCATGTTCTTCTGTCACCTTTCAACTCCAGACTGAAGTTCTGCTTCTTACCTGCATTGAAACTTGCAGGGAAGGGAGGAGAATGGTTGACACATTATCAGTCACCATGCTAAAAGCCACTCTTATCACCAACCCACAGTAAATAGTTCTAAGAACTATGTGCCTGGCACATAGTAAGTGCTCAGTTAACTGTTGTGTTGCTATGTTCGAATGACATTTATCTTCAGAAGGCTTTGTTCAGACCCAGAATGGCACTGATGCAGCCTGTTGCAGAGCTCTGGGTGCTTTGGAGGGTGGGGGGAACTTCTGAACTTTGCTGAAAGGAAGGGGTTGACAAGTGTCAAGGAATGACTGTGGAACTTGGAGTTTGGCCAGGAGGGTGGAGGATGTGTGCTGATGACAGAAGCTGGTCCAAGCTTCAGTCGCTTGTGGGGTGATTGTGCAGTCCCCCCATGCCCACGGGGGCCACTGCTGTCCCCCAGCCAAAGCCTACCAAGGGGAAGATGCGCATCCACTGCCTGGAGAATGTGGACAAGGCCCTGCAGTTCCTCAAGGAGCAACGTGTGCATCTGGAGAACATGGGCTCCCACGACATCGTGGACGGCAACCACCGCCTGGTCCTGGGCCTCATCTGGACCATCATCCTCCGCTTCCAGGTGGGTCCCCGGAGCAGAGGAAGTCAAGGGAGCCTCTCAAAGTAGGGCAGGGCTTGGGGGTCTCATATAATGGTGAATAAAGTGTGAGTGTTTGTGTACATTCTGGGCGGCTAGAAACCTGTCCTATGGGACAAAGCTTGTAGGAAGGAGAAAAGATCTTCTGTGTCACCCCAGATTGCTGAAGCTGAGAGCAGGTGGCTCAGTCGGTAGCGTAGTCTTCTGAGAGAGAAAATGGAAGTTAATTAGAAGCTGGGTTGAGATCTCGCTGGAAGATCTGCTTTTTATCCCCTCCCCTTACATGTGATTCAGAAATTGCAAAAATAGTACAGAAGATGTACTTCAATATTTTTCAATCAGAAACTTTTCTCACCTTGAAATTCAAGGTCCAGATTATTTGTAAGGAAATTAAAAAGGGCAAGAGAAGGAAAATCAGGCCTTGCACTTGCTGGTTTGGGGACAGAAAGAATCTAGCCCAAGGAGGGGAGGACAGGGAGAAAGAAGATAGTGCAAACCAGAAGACTGGAGGCCTCATGTGGGTGGTCCTGGGAGTCTGCTCTCACTCTCCATGAGGGTGCGAGATTAAATGAGTAGCAGTGGAATCGGCAAGAATGAAGAGGCAAGAGGAGCTACTGATGAAGGTGCAATACCGTTTAATATTCGTGTTGCTCCTCGGCCTCACGGGCGTGCACCTCCAGAGGTGACATCAGGGTGTCTTGTCATTCTCAGTATCTTGTTCGAGTTACCCCATTACAGCTGTCTCGTTTGACATGAGGAAGTCATCCCTGTGCCATTCTGGCTGACTGAGGCAGGGAGACAGGCCACTGGGACCAGGGCCTCAGGGTGTGGTGTTGCGCAGGGCTGGCACTGCAGGTGGATGGCTACAGAGGAGGACAGAGGGAGGGAGCATCCCAGGGAAAGCAGGGAGGCACCGATCCACATGCAGAGCTGCCTCAGATCTCTCTCATTCTGCCTCCCTCAGATTCAGGACATTGTTGTCGAAACTCAGGAAGGTCATGAGACGCGCTCAGCCAAGGATGCCTTGCTGTTATGGTGTCAGATGAAGACAGCAGGGTATGCCACGGAAACCAGCCATTACCATGCTCCCACCAGCCCCTTGCTCCCTTGAGCGCTGCCATCCCCAAGAGACTAGATATCACCCAGAGCTACAGCAGCTTCAGTGTAATCGATGCAGTCTCTCCTGACCTGATTCTTTGAGGCCTGGAATACAGGATTCTTTTCCAGAGTTGCCTGCAGTCAAACCATAGGGTCAGACCATGGGGTCCATTAGGTGTATGGGCCACATCTTATGGGGGAGCCTCTTTGTGGGGCTTAGCTGCAGCCCTCTGAAATGGCTTGAGAAGGGACAGGTCCATTCCTCTCTGGTGTATCGGCCCTCAGTTCATACACTTGTTTAAAGCCACAAAAGAATCTATTTCTTTGGTCTTAATGTTTCTCTTGAATGCAGCTACCCCCGTGTCAATGTCACCAACTTCACCTCCAGCTGGAAGGATGGCCTGGCCTTTAATGCCCTGATACACAAGCACCGGTAAGAGGGAGGAGAGGGCTTGGGGACTGACATTGACAGCATTCCTGTGGGTGTTTGGATGCGTTGTACTTAACATGGAGGTCACAGGAATAGTACCTCCACCATTCCAGGCCCTGGCTTCCCTGCTTTTCTTAAATCCCTGCCACCCACTTCCTCATGTGCTGGTACCCGGCTGCCCCCGCTCCTCTGCTGCTGTTCTTCTTTCACCTCTGATGTTTGGATGCGTTGTACTTAACATGGAGGTCACAGGAATAGTACCTCCACCATTCCAGGCCATGGCTTCCCTGCTTTTCTTAAATCCCTGCCACCCACTTCCTCATGTGCTGGTACCCGGCTGCCCCCACTCCTCTGCTGCTGTTCTTCTTTCACCTCTGCCCGGCCACCTCCCTGCACCTGCCAATGTCTTTGCTTCAGTCTGTGGCTACCCCGCTGATGGTGATGTCATGGCCATTCCCTTTTAACAGTCCAGCTTTGTCCCCAGGCCCGACCTGATCGACTTTGATAAACTGAAGGACTCTAATGCCCGGCACAACCTGGAGCATGCGTTTGACGTGGCCGAGCATCAGCTGGGCATCATCCCGCTCCTTGACCCCGAAGGTGAGCCTTTTGCTGCAGCAGTTGTACAAGATGACACTTGCTCGCTGCTCCAGTGCAGGCGAGCCATGGGGATGGTGACCAGGCCAGGGCTCTGCTCTGGGTCTGCTCTTCAGCTCCAAGTTGGTTCCCAGCACCTCACCTGGCCTGTTTGGAGGTTCATCATGGACTTTGGATTCCTCTTCTTTCTTCTTTCTTAATTCATGGTCCTAATACAATTCCATCACTCTCTAACATTGCCACCCTTTACTGTTCTGTCCTTGCCCTGTTGGTTGTCACCTGGTGCCTGTAGTTGAACCTCATGCTGTAGGATCAGGGGATAAATCATCTGAGCCTGACTTTGATTTCCAGCACCTCTGCCACCAGTTTCCTGTCCCTCTTCACCATCCTGCTCCCTAGCCATCAGCTTATAGGAAACAGGAATTGATGAGAAACTACAAATCATAGTCAAAGAAAGTGTTTCTCCAGACCCCTGAGGGGGAGCAGAAGGGACATCTCAGACTTCTGAGTCTCTGAAGAACCTGTGCTGGAAAGCTCCTCCCTGGTTGGTGCAGAGCTGCGGGATTCTTTTCTGGTGATGACCTCAGCATCCTCAGCCCCTGAGCTCTCTGTGCAGGGCCTGTGGATCATCAAGTACATCCTTCTTTTTTCTCTCCCATCTGTCAGTGCTCATTAGCAGAGCATTAAGCCGGCTTCTCAGGATCTCTGCCCCACCCCGGTGCATGCAGGGCCTGTGTGCATATGCTTGCACATACACGTGCGCACACACACAATCACGCAGGCACATATGCCCATCCACATATATGCACACGCACACAACCATGCACACACACCACATATGCACATGCACACATGTAAACATAACCGTGCACACACGCGCGCACACATACACAAACATGCACACATGCATATGCACAAACACACACAAGTATTCCAGCTTGTCTGCTGTTAGCTTGTCCAGCTCCCCTGAAACCAGTTTCTAGCTAATTGGTGGTACCCTCTGCTTTGTTCCTCCCCCTCCCATCTCCCACACTCTCCATTCATGACTCTCAAACAGGGAAAGATGAGACACCAAGTCTAGGACATACTATAAACAAGTATCTGGTTTCTGGTCTGACACTAACCTAAATTCAATACAGATAACATTCCCTATGAGTCTACCAGGCAGCGCTCTCAGTGGTGTGATCTCTTGGCTCTGTGGACTGTGCTTCAGGGCCACAACCCTCTTAAGTGTTTGTGAGAATTGAGATCTGCTAGGCTGGACTTGGGGTGGGGACCTTGCTTATAGTTGTTACTTGCCTGCCATGTCAAGGACGTAGATTTGGGTAGATACTTAGGTACATGCAGGAATGTGATACTGCCCAGTTATCTGAAGCTTGGGCCCCACATGCCAGACATCTGTCCTGCTACCAGTTCTTGTCTCCTACACTCACAGTCCTCCCAGAGCCCAGCCTTTCCTGCCCTCTTGGAAGCAACTGGCCTGTAGGACTTGTCAGCAGATCTGGCTCATGAGGACTCAGGTGAAAGTTGCTTTCAGTGAAATATATTCTTAAGTGGATAATGCGGCTTCTAAGGTTTCATTGACTCAGCAAAAAACTGACTAAAGAGCCAGTCAGAAGCCTTCATCATTTGCAGAAGGTTGTAAGGTTTCTTTGTATGGATTGGTAAAACTTGGTACTTACAGGAGTTACCAGAATGCTCTAGTTAGTCACTCTCCTGTGGAAGCAAATGATAAATGCTGCAGTAGCCGTTGTGTTTTCTCTTATGTGTGTTGTGAAGACCCAAACCCCTGTTACATCTCAGCTGGTGAAAATGATAGATGTTTCTATAGGTAGACCTATAGATTCTCTTTACTTTTTCTTTGTTTTTAAGGGAAATATGCTTTAGTCTCCAAGCTCCAAGATGCCAGAGTTCCATGCTGACATCAGCAAAAACTTTGGCCGTGAGCATCTCGACACCAATCTCCCTCCCTCTGTTTTCTCGACAGGTTTCAGGAGAAAGGGAATCTGGAAGTCCTGCTTTTTACCATCCAGTCCCGGATGAGAGCCAACAATCAGAAAGTGTATACGCCCCATGATGGGAAACTAGTGTCTGACATCAACCGGGTACAGGGGCATTTTCCATTACGAGTTGCCATGGGTTAATTGAGTTCCCGATAAGGGCACTGGGAATGGTCACTGAACAAGGTTAAACCAAGCCACTTTCTCTGCTGTTGTTAATTACTCATGCTGACTATTTGGAGGAGTTATCCAAACCTGGTTTTGGAGTCTCTCCTCTATAGAACCTTGAGTTTGTCTTTGAACATGGAATATTAACTACTTGTAACAGAAGGGAAATGCCTAATGATGTTTCAGAAGTTTGGAGACTTGCACCTACCTGGAAGCTCTAATAGTACGGAGGTAGCCATTTAGTCAATAAGAATTTAGTGAGCACTCACAGAGGGGCGAAAAGCGTTATATTAGGCCAAGAGTCTAAGGCAGGTTTAGGGGAAGAGGGAACTGAGAGGTCATGACCAGTGCCCCCTGAATCTTTGGTTGGCCCAGACATGAAAGCCAAAAAGCTGTTAGGAACTTTAATCTGCCAACCCCTCACCCAAGAGCACCAGGCTCTACCTAGATTCCTGAAGTCACTCTGTGGGGGTGAAAAAGATAGAACCCCAAACCCAGATGTTTCTCCTGTGCCTCAAGAATTCTTGTTTTGCTCCTTATGCAGGCCTGGGAAAGCCTAGAGGAAGCCGAGTATCAGCGGGAGCTGGCCCTGAGAAATGAGCTCATCCGGCAGGAGAAGCTGGAGCAGTTGGCCCGGCGCTTTGACCGAAAGGCTGCGATGAGAGAGACGTGGCTCAGTGAAAACCAGCGCCTTGTGGCCCAGGTAATGGGAGAGGCATTTGAGGACGGCAGGAGAGGGGAAGTTCTTCAGAGCCCCCAGTTCTCAAGTGGGCTGGAGCCCAAGCTGGTCTCTCAGCAGTTTCTTGCAGCCGAGCTTCACATGATTGGATGGATCAAGGTTCGCATCTGAAATAGAACTCCAGGATTTATTAAGTCTCATTTGTAGGAAAAGAGCCTCACAGTGCAGAACTGGCCCCTGAAGCTGTCTTATGTGGGCCAGTAGCATCAATTAAAACTGGGGTTTGAGTTGACATTAAACAGTGGTCCTCCGGGGACATGGCAAAATTACAGAGTGCACCTTGTCTGTGTCTGAGCCTTTTAGACTCTGGTCTCTGGGATTATGACGTGTTTTACTAGCTAAGAATTGACCCCAGGGCTGATTCTCTATCAGACCATCTGTTCCCTCCCACTTAAAGCTTGGAATCAAATTAAATTCAGTCCCGAAAGGGGATAGCGAGTGTTCTGAGAGCATTGGAGAGTATACGTGCATCCCAGATAGCATGTGGGTAAACCATCTGTTTTCAGCTGCGTGGTTCCTGAGTGGGAAGCAGCTCCTTTTTGCCAGAACTGGACAGGTCCACTCGAGGCAGGGTGGGGAGTGCCAGTTGGCCTCCAGAGGCTGTTAGTAATACACATGCAGCATTATTCACACGTGGCACAAGAGTAAAATCGTGAGCTTCTTTTAGAGGTTCTTGTGAGACATTTAATTTTGGGATCTTGGCTCTGATTGAGATAGGCTGCAAAACGACAGCAGAACTAACTCCTTGGGAATGGGCTTTCCCACCTGGCAGTTCTGAAGGGACCTACCACTTCTCTGCGTTTGGGGATGAGTCAAGGGGAGTCTGACTGAGCTGCCTGTTTTTCTCTCTGTGGGGCAGGATAACTTCGGGTACGACCTGGCAGCCGTGGAGGCCGCCAAGAAGAAGCACGAGGCCATCGAGACCGACACAGCTGCCTATGAGGAGCGGGTAAGGGCCCTTGAGGACCTGGCCCAGGAGCTGGAGAAGGAGAATTACCATGACCAGAAGCGCATCACAGCCCGCAAGGACAACATCCTGCGCCTATGGAACTACCTGCAGGAGCTGCTGCAGTCCCGGCGCCAGAGGCTTGAGACCACACTGGCGCTGCAGAAGCTCTTCCAGGACATGCTGCACAGCATAGACTGGATGGATGAAATCAAGGTGGGGCATGAGGGGGCTGCCCATCCCCCACACCCTGCAGCATTCACCTGGGGCTTCAGTGGCCCTGCAGTTAGCATATGCTTTCTCAGATACCTCCCAGCCAATCACATCCCTGAGTCAAAGTGGAGAAACTGAGGCAGCATAGTATCTGTGTGCATCTGCCTATCTGTTGCTTGGCTCACTCTGCTCCAGGCAAATGATACCAGCTCAGGACCACAGTATCCCCAATGACCAAGAAGTCTTGGTTTATGGCAGCACAGGTGCCAACTTGGAAGGCCTAGAAGACACATCCATCAGGAGCCTGGAGAATCGGGTTCTCAGTAATTACAATTTGATGCTAGTTTGAATCCAGACACCCCAGCATAGGGGAAGCCAAAGAAGTCTGAATTCTCCTCTCCCTCTACTGCATAGGGTCTCAACTGAGGATACATATCACACCAACCATGAAGCTTTCTAAAAATGCACATGCCCAGGCCCCAAACCTTAAGACACGCAGTAGATGAGCATGGGGCTTGAGCTTCTGTGACCTGTTCATGGATGATTCTGATGGGCACCCCCGGTAGGAACTCCTGCTCCATAGCTTCTTCCATCCCAAGCAGCAGGCATTTTCCAGCTGTACCCAACTCATCCTGGCTCAGATACCATGGACATGACCTTTGGAGGGGTCCCTTCTTGTAGTGGGTGGGTCTCTTCACTTGTCCTTGTTCCCTATACCCTGTCCTCTTTGCCAGACTCACCTCTTGTCTGCTGAGTTTGGAAAGCACCTGTTGGAGGCTGAAGACTTGCTACAGAAGCACAAGTTGATGGAGGCTGACATTGCCATCCAAGGGGACAAAGTGAAGGCCATCACTGCAGCCACCCTGCAGTTCACTGAGGGGAAAGGTGAGGCCAAGCGTGTCTCCCCCATCGAGGCCTCTGATGCCAGAGCCCCATCCTCAGGCCCAGCACACCCCCTTGGCTAGATCTCCTGGAACCACATTTAGAATTCTGCTTCTTTCATCAAGTAATGGTGCAAGAAAGAAGCTTGAGGGAAAACTCTACAGACAGCAGGCAACTGCTTTGGTAATCTGTGATCAGGAGGGTGTTTATAAGCACCAGTAAGGCATCACCATCTCTCATTCTCCTTTCTAGTTCAAATTATGACTGAGACAATTTAGGATTCTAGTTTCTGGTCTTAAATGAGAGACCTCACTGCCTCCTTGAAGAATCACCTTGGAATTTATATCTAAACATTTAAAAAAATAATTTCATGTTGTACATTTCTACTGAGAACTGACTCAACTTTTAATCTTCCTTATTCCTGAAGTTTAGCGGGCACTAATTATAAAGAATCTGGCCTGTCCTCTGAGCAACTGCCCCCCCGCCCCCGCATCCAACCCCAAAGCCCCAGTGAGATGGCAGCTTCTAGATCATGTGGTTCTAACCTGGCAACTGATCTGAAGATTGCCCATAAATGAAATCCGTCCCCTCTTTGTCCTCCCGACTTCTATTCCTCCCAGGGTACCAGCCTTGTGACCCCCAGGTCATTCGGGACCGCATCAGCCACCTGGAGCAGTGCTTTGGGGAGCTGAGTGACATGGCAGCTGGGCGAAAGGCTCAGCTGGAGCAGTCCAAGCGGCTCTGGAAGTTCTTCTGGGAGATGGATGAGGCCGAGAGCTGGATTAAGGAGAAAGAGCAGATCTACTCCTCCCTGGACTATGGCAAGGATCTGACCAGCGTGCTCATCTTGCAGCGCAAGCATAAGGCCTTTGAAGATGAGCTCCGTGGGCTGGACGCCCACCTGGAGCAGATCTTCCAGGAGGCTGAGGGCATGGTTTTACGCAAGCAGTTTGGGCACCCACAGATTGAAGCCCGCATCAAAGAGGTGTTGGCCCAATGGGACCAGCTGAAGGAACTGGCTGCCTTTCGCAAGAAGAACCTCCAGGATGCTGAGGACTTCTTCCAGTTCCAGGGCGATGCAGATGACCTTAAGGCCTGGCTGCAAAACGCCCACCGGCTGCTCTCAGGTGAAGATGTGGGGCAGGATGAAGGGGCCACACGGGCCCTGGGGAAAAAGCACAAGGACTTCCTGGAGGAGCTAGAGGAGAGCCGAGGTGTGATGGAGCACCTGGAGCAGCAGGCCCAGGGCTTCCCCCAAGAGTTTCGGGATTCCCCAGATGTGACCAGTCGGCTGCAGGCCCTCCGAGAGCTCTACCAGCAGGTGGTGGCCCAGGCAGACCTGCGTCGACAGAGGCTGCAGGATGCCCTGGACCTGTACACAGTGTTTGGGGAGACGGATGCCTGTGAGCTGTGGATGGGCGAAAAGGAGAAGTGGCTGGCCCAGATGGATATCCCTGACACACTGGAGGACCTGGAGGTCGTGCAGCACAGGTCAGAGTTGGTTCATGTTTTCCTCACCTCCCTGCACCAAGGACCGGGCGCCACCTCCCACCTAGTTTGGTAACAGCCTCAGATGAGCAAGGGTCTCTTTGAGAGGCCATGGGATACCCTTTGTTGCAACATACAGGCATCAAGGGACATGAGTTCTATTCTGGCTCTGTGGCCTTGGGTACTTCACCCACTGGGGCCTTGTGTTCCTCAAAAAGAGGGGACTTTCTAGTTCTAGTTATTCACTTACTTTTCAGCTACAGCAGCCTTTGCTCAAATGAATTGTGTATGGAACCCTTACGTAACACACAGGAAAAGTGGAGCTGCTCTGGATATGGGGGCTGAGAGGCCAGGACCTTATCAGCAGTAGCTTTCCATGGCAGTTCCTAAGCTACAGAACTCCAAGGGGCCACAGAGACCAGTTTGTAAGCCACTGGTCTGCAAGGCCACTCCCAATTCTGTTATTGTGATTCCATCAGCACCAGATGTGGAGGCACGGCCCAGTCTGTGTAGCTGCTCAGCAGCCTCAGCACAGGATCCAGGGAGTCAGGGAGGGGAGAGGCTGCTCCCTGGAGCAGTGCCAGGGTGCTCCCACACTGACACTGGAGCATCCTGGGCTTTTACCCATAAGGTTCAGCCTTCATAATTCCCTCTACCCCCGCAGCTCTCCCCTGTGCTACTCAGGAATGGAGCACCTGGCTGGTGAGGGTAACCTTTGGGTCCGTGTGTCAGGACAGTGGACTCAGGGTCCAAGAGCGGCAGCTGGGACAGTGGTGGCATGACAGGTGGTCCCTGTGGCAATTGTCAACCCCCTCCCCACCACACACACTGTAACCTCTTTACAGCTTTCTCTCCCCTTCATACTTCTCTGTTGAGCCAGAAGCCTATGTAATAAGTAGCCAGCTCTCCACTAGCCTGGCCCAGAACAAGAAAATGGGATTTGCCAGCACATGGCTCCTTCCCCCCTCTCCTGGACAAGTGTGTTGAGGAAGCAAAGGGAGAAAGCAAGAGCTCCACTTTCTGGAGCCTGGGGGGCCACTGGTCATGAAATGTCTGCTGTGGCCACACCGATCCTCATTCATTTCACTCTGTCCTTATCAGGTTCGACATCTTGGACCAGGAGATGAAGACTTTGATGGCTCAGATTGACGATGTAAACCTCGCTGCCAACAGCCTGGTGGAGAGTGGCCACCCACGCAGTGGGGAAGTGAAGCAATACCAGGACCACCTGAATACCAGGTGGGGTGTGGGTAGGCCTTAGGGCTGGGTGCATTTTCTCCCAACACCTGACATCCCTGGGGGCCTGGCCCCAAATTCAGGCTACCTGCTGTGCACAGCTATGTTTGTACCCTCAAGGCTCCTGTCCTTCTCAGCCACAGTCTCCTTCCTGGCATTGGGGCTGTAGCAGCAGAGAGGAAGGATCTGTGTGGTGAACGGCAGGGTGAACAGCCCAGGGAGGGAGAGAGGTGCATGAAAGGAGCTTCGAACACTGTGTCTGGGAGGAGAGGCGGGTATGCCTGCGGGATGGAGAGGACATTCTGAGTGTGCCCGTAGTTAGAATCAGGCCATACAGTACTCATGCTGTATCTCCCTGGACAGTCCTGAGCAGGGAAAATTGCTTTCTGAGAGCTCTTAAGTACTGTCCATAAAAGAATGTTTCTGCCTGTGCCAAAATGCAGTGTCGATAATGAGACTGGCTTGAATGAAAAAGAGAATTAGCAGGGAGCCTTGAGCAAGCTTCTGACCGGAACAAAAAACAGGCCCCGAGGAGCCTTTAGAGAGGGGGTGCTTTGAGTGTGGTGTGTAATTGCCCATTAGTTCCTGGAGGATCTTTGAGGACAGAGCAAAGACCCGTGTTCCGTCCTTACCCTGGGCCCTGCACGTGCAACACCACATGCTCACCGCCTCCCCATTACCCCTGCCCTTTCCCCACACTTGTGCCTGAGACTTGCTGTGCCTGAAGCAAGCTGGGGGCTGGGCTTAGGGAAAACTCAATTCTAAAGAAAAGGATCGGCACAGGGGAGACTCCGTTGGGGGCTGAAGGGCAGGGGGTGACCAGGATACTTTGGAGCCACTGGAATGGGGCTGATTGTCTCATCAATTGGGGACCGTAGCTAGGGGGGTTCCTTTGCAAATCTGATGTTTATGCAGAAGGGAGGACGCCTTAAATTTGTAGGTTGTGTGTGTGAGAGAGAGAGATTGAGAGATTGTTGTAATTACTGCTTAACTGAGGAAACTAGAGCAGGTCTAAACCAGAGAAACTTCCAGACAGGAAGAACTTGTTAACTATACAGTGAGCTGTAGTCAGAGGATGTTGATTTATTCAGACACCTAAGTCATGTCCCATCCCAAGTGAAAAACATCAAGGTACATGCCATCCTTAGGTGAGAAAATACCTGAGTCATGAAATGGTGAGATGGCTCTGCATTAAGTCTGAGAGCTGACTGGAGAAGCCATCCAGTCTAGCCAGGGATGGGGACCTCACTCCCTTGCCACACAGCCAGTCCCATTTGGGGGCAACTCCTTTTGGTTTGAAAGTTTGTTCTCATTGAGTAGAAATCTGCCTCCTTGAAATTTGTGTACATTGATTCTGGCTCTGCCCTTTGAAGATGTGAGACTTATCTTGACTCCTCTTCCATGTATGAGTGTAGCTCTTCAAATATTTTTTAAAACAACTGTCATTCTCCATCCCCAGTCCTACCTCTGTGCCTCTGCAGTGTGCATTCTCCTCTGGCTACATATTCCAAATCCTGACCATTCTTTAGGTGAATCCAGATTCATCTCCTTCCCAATTTCCCAGATAAAAAACCGTCTTTCTCTCCTCTTTACTGGTTTCAAGCTTCACATCCTACCTGTGTTATAATTACTTTTGTGCTGAAGGACTTTCCTGCTAGACTATAGGCAAAGGAAGACCTGTATCTTTCTGTATTGCCTGCAGTGCTTGCACACCAAGCACATTCTTGTCTGAAGTCCCTCTGTTTGGAATATTCTTTTCCCAGATATCCCTTTGGTTTACTGTCTTACTTTATTCAGGTCTTTGCTCGCATGCCTGCTTACTGGAATGACCCTCACTGACCACCCCATTGAATGTAGCACATCCCTGCCTCTTACCAACGCCCTCAGGCTCTATCCTGTTACCTTGTTTTATTTTTCTTTCTCTTATCACCACTTGATGGATTATAGACTTGTTTCTCTGTGCTTGCTTGAATAAAAGCAAGGACTTGGCTTTGTTCTTTGCTGTATCCCAGTGCCTAGGCCAGTGTCCAACACAAGGCACATGATAGTTGCATGATAAATAGTGAATGAGTGAATAGAGACAAAACTGAAAATTTCCTGCCAAGCTTGGTACATATGAGTCTTTCAAACACTTATTGAATGTGTGATCATCTTTCAATGTATGCTTTCCAGTTGATCGACATGTTTCTAAAAATGTCAGGCCCAGGAGCAAACCTAGACTGCCAATATTGCCTGACAGGTGCTAACTAGAGTGTCTCTGTCACCTTCCTCAATCTCGGAGATGGTGCACTACAGGGGGAAGGTGTGGCTCAGGAGGCAGACTAGACCCAAACCCAGCCTATCCCCCATGTGGCCCCCACTTGGTGAGTACAGTGAGGCCACACCAGGAAAGGCCTGGTAATCACCATGGGCCTCTTGCCAGACCCTCTCCCAGGAGCAATTCACTATCCTAGTGGCTTCAGACCAACTGGGAGAAAACCTGCAGCTCCTTTCCCCCAATTTCCCAGCCTCAGAGCATCTCTGTGTGCCAAGCACAGAACCCCCCAGAGCATAGAGACTTCACAGCCTAGGAAGAGAGCCGAGGACATCTTCAGATTCTCTCTCTTCTCCCTTATGTATTCCCAGTCCCTCCTAGACCTGTCTTCCAAACCAGACTAGCCACTGTTGTCACACCTTGGAAACGCTCACATGCACTCTGCCCAGACCATCTGCCAAGCCCCTCAACCTGCTCCCCTCCATCCCTAGGTGCTGGGGAGACAAAGATGAGTGAAACTCTCAGGGTCCCATCCTTAAATAGATCACTCCGGTGGGGGCATTGAAGGTCAGTTCATTGAGACACAGCTCAGATGACCTCCACGAAATCTGCCACTGTCACCCTGTTGCTCCTTACAGCTCCCTTAGTCCTCTCTGTCTGGTATGTACTTTGCACATAGTACTTTTTACTATAGTTATTTTGTGAGCTTGTCTTCATTTTTCTCTAAATCATACACTCCATAGAACAAAGTCTGGTAATGTCTGTATTCTCCCCAAGTCTAACATAATTTCTATCCCCCTCATGCTGTTCAAAAGAGATGGGTTCAGGGCTGGCTGGTTAGCTCAGTTGGGTAGAGTGTGGTGTTATGCCACTGAGATCAAGGGTTCAGATCCCCAAACTGGCCAGCCACCAAAAAAAAAAAGGAAAAGAAAAAGAAAGATGGGTTCAGTTAGCAAATGAACATTTAGCATACTCTCTACTCTCATGTGCTTATATATCACAGCCATGCAGAATGAATAAACCTGGGTCCAAAGGAGGTGTCCCCAGGGCCTGGCTGATGGGCACCTCTTTGAAAGAGGCTTATTGCAGGCTGCAGATCCACCCCAGGCCCCCAGGACATCCACCAGACTTTAGCACATTTCCCTGTTTCATAGCAACACCACACTTGAAGCTTAAGATTATATTACCCATTTTAATCACAATCCCAGCTTCTTCCTCCCCTCCCCCAATCCTCTTCTTTTTTACTAGGCCTCTTTTCTTTTAGATGTAAGGTGATTTTTTTCAGGCCCTGGTGTACTTTGAATGTGGCCTCAGGCATTTGTGTGATTCCTCTAGGGCAGCTGGGGACCCTGTGCCCTGAAGCATTCTTGTAGTTAATAATGTGAGCTTTCTAATTATTTTTGGTGTTTCAGAAACTTTGGGGAAATTGTATATTTGCCTAAAATCTAACCACACGCAGAGCCTTTACTTTCATGCTCCTTTACTTGTGGTTGGAATGACATCACTGCATGCCTCCTGCTGACCCAAAGATCTGATCGACACTTATGTATGTCTTAGGTAAAATTGGATAAATGAAGTTCGCTCACCAGGTTTGTTGGGTAGATCATTTTTTTTTCCAGCATACAAGGTCTGTTGGGGGAGGCTCATGGGAAATCAGGGAAGGGACGCCTCTTAGGTAAAATTGGATAAATGAAGTTCGCTCACCAGGTTTGTTGGGTAGATCATTTTTTTTTTCCAGCATACAAGGTCTGTTGGGGGAGGCTCATGGGAAATCAGGGAAGGGACGCCTTGTGGGAAGAGTTGAGGAAGAAGCTGTCTCTCTCTTTCCCCTGGGCTGTGTCCCCCTCTGGCAGGTGGCAAGCATTCCAGACCATGGTGTCAGAGCGGCGGGAAGCGGTGGACTCAGCCCTCCGGGTGCACAACTACTGTGTGGACTGTGAAGAGACCAGCAAGTGGATCACAGACAAGACAGAGGTGGTAGAGTCTACCAAGAACCTGGGGCGGGACCTGGCAGGTGTCATCACCATCCAGCGGAAGTTGTCAGGGCTGGAGCGTGACGTGGCCGCCATCCAGGCCCGCGTGGAGGCCCTGGAGCGTGAGTCGCAGCGTCTGATGGAGTCACACCCCGAGCAGAAGGAGGACATTGGCCAGCGGCAGGCATACGTGGAGGAGCTGTGGCAGGGCCTGCAGCGAGCCCTTCAGGGCCAGGAGGCCTCCCTGGGCGAGGCCAGCCAGCTGCAGGCCTTCCTGCAGGATCTGGACAACTTCCAGGCCTGGCTGTCCATGGCCCAGAAGGCCGTGGCCTCTGAGGTCACGCCCGAGTCACTCCTGGAGGCCGAGCAGCTCCTGCAGCAGCATGCAGCCATCAAGGATGAGGTTGACGGGCACCAGGAGAGCTTCCAGCATGTCAAGGCCTCTGGGAAGAAGGTGATCCAAGGCCAGACAGACCCAGAGTACCTGCTTCTGGGCCAGCGGCTGGAGGGCCTGGACACCGGCTGGGACGCCCTGCACCGGATGTGGGAGAGCCGTGGCCACTCCCTCGCCCAGTGCCTTGGCTACCAGGAGTTCCAGAAAGATGCCAAGCAGGCCGAAGCCATCCTCAGCAACCAGGTAGAGAGAGGTGTTCAGGGCTAGTGGGTGTCTCAGGGCAGCACCACTTAGTCCTCTGCAAATTTGAGTCTACAAATGTGCTGTAGGGCTCAGGGACCAAATTACCCTTTTCTTGGACTCTCTGTAGTCACTAATTGGGAAGAAAATCCTCTTTGTCCCTCATCATGTGCCTTTTCCAGACCTGTGTCCCAAACCATGCATTGTTCTTGGGTCAGTCAGAGGCTGGAGGAGTGAATTTTGCCCTGGGGAGTGCAGGGGCCCGGCCTGGGGAGTCGAGCCTGCTCCTCACACAACTCTGGGGCACCATTCACACCGAGGCCCAGCCGCTGCCCTCCCCACCTCCTCAGCTCATCCTCAGCCCTCGCCTGGAAACTTCCTTCCACAGGAATACACTCTGGCTCACTTGGAGCCCCCAGACTCCCTAGAGGCTGCAGAGGCTGGGATTCGGAAGTTTGAGGATTTCTTGATGTCTATGGAGAACAACCAGGATAAAGTCTTGAGTACTGTGGACTCTGGAAACAAGCTGGTAGCTGAGGGAAATCTGTACTCAGACAAGATCAAGGAGAAGGTGCAGCAGATTGAGGACAGGTACTCCCTTCCTTGGGGTCATGGGGCCTTGGAGATACATGGGGGCTGGTGGCGCAGGTGAGGACCCCGGGGCCGCACTGTTATGACTTGGGCTCTGGCTTCCCTTCCAGGCACAGGAAAAATAACGAGAAGGCCCAGGAGGCCTCGGTTCTCCTGAGAGACAACCTGGAGCTACAGAACTTCCTCCAGAACTGCCAGGAGGTGAGGCTGCAGCAGGGCAGGGGCTGCTGCTCAGGGGATTCCTCTCTAGGAGCACCCTAGAGGTGGAAAGTGCACAGGATCCTTTCTAACTCAAGAGTTATGGGACTCCAGCAGTGGCAGCTCCAGAGACTGGATGGCTTACATTATCCTCCAGAATCTTTAGTTCCACATTTATTTATTTATTTATTTATTTACTTACTTACTTAACTTACTTAACTTACTTACTTTACTAATTACTTTACTTACTTACTTACTTTACTAATTACTTTACTTACTTACTTACTTTACTAATTACTTTACTTACTTACTTACTTTACTAATTACTTTACTTACTTACTTACTTTACTAATTACTTTACTTACTTACTTACTTTACTAATTACTTTACTTACTTACTTACTTTACTAATTACTTTACTTACTTACTTACTTTACTAATTACTTTACTTACTTACTTACTTTACTAATTACTTTACTTACTTACTTACTTTACTAATTACTTTACTTACTTACTTACTTTACTAATTACTTTACTTACTTACTTACTTTACTACTTACTTACTTACTTTAATTACTTACTTACTTTACTACTTACTTTACTTACTTTACTACTTACTTTACTTACTTACTTACTTTACTACTTACTTTACTTACTTACTTACTTTACTACTTACTTTACTACTTACTTTACGTACTTACGTACTTACTTACTCACTCTTTACTACTTACTTTACTTACTTACTTACTTTACTACTTACTTTACTTACTTACTTACTTTACTTTACTACTTACTTTACGTACTTACTTACTTACTTACTTACTTTACTACTTACTTTACATACTTACTTACTTACTTACTTTACTACTTACTTTACTTACTTACTTACTTTACTACTTACTTTACTTACTTACTTACTTTACTACTTACTTTACGTACTTACGTACTTACTTAAAAAGAATAGTACTTGGCAATTATGGGGCACTCGATAAATATTGACCATTATTAGTAGTATACATTCTTAGGTTGAAATCACATCACACTGTACCCACCCAAAAAAGGCACTTTTATGCAGGTGAAAACCAGATCAGGCAACCTCAGTAACTAAAGATATCACCAAAGGTTAGGGCACAACCTCTGGGAAGAAGATTCAGAGAGGGTGGAACTCACAGGGGGGTTTCCATGCTGATTGTACCTGGATGGATCTTGAATTTTCTTTTTTCTTAATTCCAGCCGCCCTGTCTGTTAGAATCACCCCGGGCCCTGGTCAGGGCAGAGTTCCGGGCTATGCCGACAGGGCCCTATGCCCAGAAGGGCCTGTGCTTGGTTTAATGCTCTGCTTTTGCCATCTTGAAATTCTTACTAGTTTTGAACATCATTTTTCACTGGGCCCCGCAAGTCATCAAGCCAGTACTGGCCCTAGTTAAAGCAGACTTCTGGGCCCCACTCAGGCCCCAGATGAATCAGAATCTTAAGGGGTGATAGGAAGAAGCATTTTAAACAAGGCTCCAGTTGGAGAACTGCTGACTCAGAAGGATCTTGCTCAACCTGGGGCCGGCTGTATGAGGAAGGTCTCTAGTCCGCACTCCCTGGCCCCTTCCTTGACAGTTCTTCTGGGTGGGATGGGGCTGTCCCTGACTTCTTCCTTGCCCTTGTCTTCACGCCCCTTTCCTCTCAGCCCAGACAACTTTGTTTTCCTCTCCCTCTGCCCTTGGCACAATCCAGGCCTTGGGTCTGGTTCCAGGACATCTTGGAAACACCGGATGCTCATCACAGTTCTTCCCCCTTGTTAATTATAGGATCTGCCCTTGGCTTCTTTCTCAGATAGCATTTTCTCTGTGCCTATTAATGATTTCTCACCCTACTGCCAAAGGATGGATTTATTCATCCATCCAGTAAACACTCATTGAGTTCCTACAATGTGCCAGGCCCAGTCCTAGGTCCTTGAAATATAGAGCAAAGAATAAAGTACCCCTGGTCTCACACCACACACACCCTAGTGGGGAAGACACACCTGTGCCCACATTTTGGTCCCAGCATGATGCGGATTAAGTTGCCTGTGCTGGGACTTAGGGATCCAGAGTTGGAGATTAGTTCTCTTCTGTGCTCGCACTTCCTCCCCTTGGCCTTCTCCTTCTGCAGCTAGGGTGGGCAGCAGGTCCTGCCCCACCAAAGAGATACCTTTAGGGATGCACCATCAGACTCCCTCTTCTGCCCACAGCTCACTCTTTGGATCAATGACAAGCTGCTGACATCTCAGGATGTCTCCTATGATGAAGCACGAAACCTGCACAACAAGTGGCTGAAGCACCAGGCGTTTGTGGCAGAGCTGGCTTCCCAGCAGGGGTGGCTGGAAAATGTTGACGCAGTAAGTGAAGCCAGGGGGCAGTGGGGGCTCTGCTCAGACATGCTTGCCTCAATGGGACTTCACCCAGGGCACAGGCTGTGTCTTGAAGCTTGCTGGACAGTACAGACATAACTTGGCAGTGAAGAAACTTCTCTAACTAGTAGTTATACCTGCAGAGCTCCTGATGTAGCCAGTCTTGTTAAGCCTGATCAGAATTGATGACTCTTCTGGATCACCTGAATCTGGGGACAGTCCAGGACACTGAGGACACTCCAGTTAGAGCTTCAGTGTCCGGTGCCAGGACAGCACTTATCTCTGATTACCTTCCATGGTCCTCACCAGGGCTCCAGCACTGTCTGCCCAGGGTCAGGGAATACATGAGATGACCAGGGTGCTTCGGGGGAGCCACTAACCCTCATTGTTTGAATGGGCAGAACCACTGGGAGTGGTTGTTCACACGCTCACAGATGGGGAACAAAGGACCCCTCGGTAACGAGCTTACCCAGTGGTGCAAGTCAAATGTGGCTGGGGTTAGATCTGGGAATCCTGTACCTTTGCTCCTCCCACCTGTGGCTGCCCACAAAGAAGTGGGCCTAGGGTCCACACAAGACCATGCTGCATAGTGGTTAAGGGTGTCACCTCTGGAGCCAGACTGCCTGACTCCTTAACCTCCCTGTGCCTCAGTTTCTTCATCTGTGAACTCAGGGTAATAATAGTACCTACCCAATGGAGCTGTGAGCACTAAATATTTAAAGACAAGTGAAGTACTTAGAATAGTACTTGGCAAGGGCCGGCCCGTGGCTCACTTGGGAGAGCGTGGTGCTGATAACACCAAGTCAAGGGTTAAGATCCCCTTACTGGTAATCTTTTTATAAAAAAAAAAAAGAATAGTACTTGGCAATTATGGGGCACTCGATAAATATTGACCATTATTAGTAGTATACATTCTTAGGTTGAAATCACATCACACTGTACCCACCCAAAAAAGGCACTTTTATGCAGGTGAAAACCAGATCAGGCAACCTCAGTAACTAAAGATATCACCAAAGGTTAGGGCACAACCTCTGGGAAGAAGATTCAGAGAGGGTGGAACTCACAGGGGGGTTTCCATGCTGATTGTACCTGGATGGATCTTGAATTTTCTTTTTTCTTAATTCCAGCCGCCCCTTGTCTGCCGCTCTCCATACTTCAGTATCCCTGAGTCATGTGCCCCAGACACTGTTCTCCCTCCCCTGCCTTCCCCCACAAATAATCCGGGGGGTTCAGGGCGGTTCAGATTCTGTTTCAGTTGAACCCTCACCTGAGTTCTCAGCAGATTCCTTGTCTGACTCAGGTAGCCCCTTGCAAGCAGCTGGAGCAGGGCTGCTCCAAGGCCACCTCGGGCTCAGAGGGTGACTCTCCTCCTTCCCCTCCAGGAAGGGAAGCAGCTGATGGAGGAGAAGCCCCAGTTTAGGACCCTGGTGTCTCAAAGGCTGGAACACTTGCACCGGCTCTGGGATGAGCTGCAGGCCACCACAAAGGAGAAGACCCAACACCTGTCGGCCGCCAGGAGCTCTGATCTGCGCCTGCAGACCCATGCTGACCTCAACAAGTGGATCAGTGCCATGGAAGACCAGCTGAGGTCGGATGACCCAGGAAAGGACCTGACCAGCGTCAACCGGATGTTGGCTAAGCTGAAGGCACGTGAGCGAGTGGGTTGTAGAATCAAAGTGTTAGAAGGTATCTTGGGAAGCAAATCTGAAACCCTAAAGTAAGTACTTCTGTTCCTATTAGCTGCACTTTTATCATGCAAAAATGTTTCCTGGTTTATAATCCTGTCCTACCCTCTTTGTAGTGGGTAGGACAGGGATCCAAATGGGTTAGTAAAATGATGCATGAGAAATATAGGACAGAGGAGGGAAACATGAGAAGCAGCATCCAGGGAGACTTCTTGGAGGAGCCTGAGCTCAGACTGGGCCTTAAAGGATGGGTGGAATGCAGATAAATGACAAGGAAGGATAGGTTGCCCAGGTGCCAGGGCTGGCGCTGACACCGTCTGCTTGTGTCTCAGCGAGTGGAGGACCAAGTGAATGTGCGGAAAGAGGAGCTGGGGGAGCTGTTTGCCCAGGTGCCCTCACTGGGAGAGGAGGCAGGAGACGCAGACTTGAGCATTGAGAAGCGGTTCCTGGACCTCCTGGAACCCCTGGGGAAGAGGAAGAAGCAGCTGGAATCATCCAGAGCCAAGCTGCAGATCAGCCGGGACTTAGAGGATGAGACGGTGCGTAGGCCACAGCCTCTCCCGACCCCCAAGGCTGAGCCATCAGCTGCCATCAGGGTAGCTGGCTGATGTCCAGAAAAATTCTTGGCAGCAGATGACTGGTCACCTCACCCCCTTATCTCATAGGATTGTTGTGATGATTACATAAAATGGAAAAGTTAGTCCAGTGCTGTTTGAATGGTAACTCACTGACCACTTGCTAGTATTGTTGGTGAACACCATGGACTTTGGGGTCAGACAGACTTGGGTTCAAGATCCAGCTATGTTAGTTTCCCACTGTGTGACTAGGACCAAGTTTTCTGGAACCTCAGTTCAAAGTATCCAAATATCTCCATCTTTAAAATGGGCGCAAACCCCAACAGGGTGTTGGGAGGAACTAGGGAGACACTGTGGCAAAGCTCTGTCTGGCCCACGGTGGGTGCTTGGGAGAGGGTAGCCATGATTGTCATCAGCTGTCTCCCTGCCTTCTGGTCCCTGCAGCTCTGGGTGGAGGAGAGGCTGCCTCTGGCCCAGTTGGCCGACTATGGCACTAACCTGCAAACTGTGCAGCTGTTCATGAAGAAGAACCAGGTAAGTCCTGTCTCACCTCACCAGCCCCACCTGCCCCACCTTCCCCCTCCTTGCCCTGCCTGGCCCCAGGAAGGAAGCCCCAGCCCTGTCCAGCAGGCCAGCGACAGCAGATTATTGCTTATGTTGGTAGCTTTGGGGTCCCCAAACTGTATTTGTAGTCTCACAGCAGAAAGAGCAGGCTTTGGTGATTGCAGAGAGAATTTTGGGAGGATCACAGCAAAGGGAGGAATCTGGTGCTTGGGGACTTGGGGCCATTCAGACTCCATCAGGTACAGGTGAGTGCAGGGCCCCAAAGGCTCTGGTCTGGGGTTGAATGTGCTTTCGTAGTTCTGTATTCAGTGGCCGCCCTGAGAAGAGTCTGATAAGTTCTGGTCTCTGTCCCATGTCGCTGCCTTACCCCACATCTAGGGCTGAGGTTGGCATGTGATTCTCCGGACATGTGAGGTTACTTGTGGGGCTCAAATCCCATTAGGAAGCCACTAAACTTGGACTCTGAGCCCTTGGAGCAAACATCCATCTGCTGTTTGACTCTGTCCTAGGCCTGATTGGGAACTTCTGTGGCCCTGGTCAGAATCCTGGACATGAGCAGATGCCACACTCTTCCTCTTGTGTCAGGGCTGTGGAGGGAGCCTGAATCCTCCAAGGAAGCCAGCTGTGTGGCTTCATGCCTGGCCAGGGGCTGGCCGCAGATCCTTCTCTGCAGAGAGTCCCTCCTCCTTCTTGGTCTGCTCTCTGGGCCAGCAAGGAAAGCCTGAAAACTTAGATCCCAGGGAAGAGCAACATGTCCCAGTGTGCCACATCAGCATTGCTGCTTGCTGGGGAAAGAAGGTCATGGCAGACAGCACTCCCTTCCCCCAAAATAGCAGCAGCTGCCATCTCCTTACAGGACTGTTTGAGCTCAGCAACTGTGCAAAGGCCTGAGTTATATTCAAAGAGGTTTCCTCAAAGCTCCCTTGAACCCTTTGCTTCCAACTGACATAATCTAGACACAGAGGCTCCAGTGACCACACGCAGGGACCTGAGCTAGAAGATGATAGAGATTCAGGCTCAGTTAATGCCACAACCTTCAATTAAAGGAAGAAGGCTAGTAGGAGACAGTATTCTTGGGACCTCAGTTTCCTCGATTGTGAAATGTGCCCACTCTGGTCTTTCTAACACCAAGGACTTGATTCTGTCTAGCCTCAATAAGTGTTATTATCCAAAGGTTTTCAACTCCCCTGGCTGGCAGTTGCTATTTCAGAAAAGGGACTAGACAAATAAGTATGGGGTTCCCCTAACCAAAAAGGGAAGGACAACCTCTTGGGAGAGCATGGCTGTCCTAGTAAAGACTATTTTAGGCTATCCTGGCTAAAGCATAGACCCAGTTTTATCATTTCCTCACTTAAAACCCTTGATTGCCATTGTTCTCAACCTTCAGTGTGCACTCACCCAGAGGGCTTATTAAGTCACAATTGACCAGGCTCAACCCCAGTTCTGCTGAATCAAACTCTGGGGGTAGAGACCGATAATCTGCATTTCTAGCAAGATCCTAGGTGATGCTGATGCTGCCAGCCAGGGACTCCACTTTGAGAACCATTGCTCTAATGGCTATCCGTTGCAATTAGAACAAGTCCTGCGAGGTGCTGCTTGAATGGGTCTGACCCTGGCTGCACATAAAAATCACTTGGGGAAATTTCAAACATACGCATGCCCAGGTTCCTTCTCAGATCAATTAATTAGGATCTCTAGGGATGGGAACCTAGCTGTGTCTGTTTTCCTAGATTATTCAATGTGCAGTCAGGGGTAAGAACCACTGTCTTGCCTGATCTGGCCCCTGCCTACCTTTAAATCACATCTCTTGTCACTTTCCCCTCCTGCACAGAATTCCTGCTCTTCTGGCCCTCCCTCTGGCCTTCAGACAGCCGAGGCTCATTTCTGCACCAGGCCCTTCCCTTTTGCCAGGCATGTTCATCCCCAGATCTTTGTGTGGGTGTCTCCCTCCCATTATTCATGTCCCACTCAAATGTCATCTCCTCAGAAAGCCCCTTCCTGACTCCTCTAGCTAAAGTGGCCTCCGGCAGACCTCAGCAGACATTCTTCATGCTTACCATCTATTTCCTCTGCTGGGTTGTAAGCTTTATGAGTGCCAGGATTTTGTTTGTCACGTTTCCACATTGTCCCTAGTACCCAGAACAGGTCTAGTACCTAGAAAAGAACTTAATATTTGTTGAGTGAATGAAGACAGGGAAGAAGACATCTAAGTAAGCACCCTGCATAGGAGACTAGAAAGTAATTGCTTAAAAAGAGAGAGAAATACCTTTTTAGGGCACCTTGCAGAGGTCATAAAATCTCAGGGAAAGTAAAGCAGCAAATACAGCTGACAGCATGGGTTGTTTTCATGCAGTTGTAAATTGTCAAAATCAAGATTCTGAGCATAGGGCCGGCCCGGTGGCGCACTCGGTAGAGTGCGGCACTTGGGAGCACAGCGGCACTCCCTCTGAGGGTTCGGATCCCATATAGAGACCAGTCCACTCACTGGTTGAGCGTGGTGTGGGCGTGACACCGAGGGTTGCGATCCCGTTACCGGTCACAAAAAAAGACAAAAAGGAAAAAAAAAAGATTCTGAGCATAAAGTGCAAAAAGTGCATTTCAGCAGGTTAGGTGATTGCGGATATGGCTATTCCATATATACAGGTATCTTAAATGCTGGTGGTCACTGTACTGCCCATGTGGACTGCTCTCGCCCCTGCCTTCCACACAGTTTTAAAGGCCATGGGGAAATTGCAGAAAGTGGGGGAATGCGGTGTAAGGAGCCCCCACACAGGAAGCAGCTAGGCCTCAAGGACCCAGTGAGTAAACAACGTGTGTGTCAGGACCTCCTGAAGAAAAAGGTGACCCAGTAACCAGAGTGGGAAGAAAAGGCTCAAACAGAAAATAATATACAGTTCACAAAAGATTTGAGAAATATAAATAAGCAAAATAAAACCTGAAACTCTAAACAAGGGGCAGCTGTCAACTGTTCTTTTGTATGCAGCAAAAGCTGCTAAAATAAGATAACGAAAAGGCCATTTTTAAATGGTTTTCCTTTCCTCCAACACACACACCTAAGAAATCAAGCTCTGTTGAAGCCTGGAAAGAATAGGGAGCAGTCAAGAGCACAGGCTTTGGAGTCAGGTAGAGCCATGTTCACATCCGGCTCTGCCCCTCACTGCCCGTGAGTGACATTGTTGCTGTGTGCGTTTCTAACAGCTGTCAACTGTTCTTTTGTATGCAGCAAAAGCTGCTAAAATAAGATAACGAAAAGGCCATTTTAAAATGGTTTTCCTTTCCTCCTACACACACACCTAAGAAATCAAGCTCTGTTGAAGCCTGGAAAGAATAGGGAGCAGTCAAGAGCACAGGCTTTGGAGTCAGGTAGAGCCGTGTTCACATCCGGCTCTGCCCCTCACTGCCCGTGAGTGACATTGTTGCTGTGTGCGTTTCTAAGTGCTTGTCTCGGGAGGCTCCTTGAGGGTTAAAGAGGAATGGTGCTCATAAAGTTAGCACCAGATCAGTGGTCGCTGGGCAGTTGTGATTACCATCAGCTGCTCCATTCTAGCAGGAGAGAGTAAGGGGGCTGAGGGTGTCAGGCTCGCTGCAGAAGCAGCTCCCCTCCCTAGTGGGAGGCCCCTTCTCTGAGCCCTTCCTTCTGGCCACAGACGCTGCAGAATGAGATCCTGGGCCACGCGCCACGGATCGATGATGTGCTGCAGAGAGGGCAGCAGCTGGTGCAGGCGGCGGAGATCGATTGTCAGGACATCGAGGAGCCTCTGGTCCACCTGCAGGGCTCGTGGGACATGCTACAGGAGGCTGCAGCTGGGCGGCTGCAGCACCTGCGGGATGCCCACGAGGCACAGCAGTACTACCTGGATGCGGGTGAGGCCGAGGCCTGGATCAGTGAGCAGGAGCTCTACGTCATCTCCGATGAGACCCCCAAGGTCTGCTTTGGCAGGGATTGCCAGCCAGGGTGCTGCGGTGGAGGGGAAGAGCTGGGGTGGATGGCTGTGGAAAGCCTTGTAAGCCCAGGCGTGTGAGGAGTGAGAGCAGGGGGAGTATGTGCTAGGAACCCACCATCTCCCCGGTCCCTTATGGTGCCTCCTTGGGAGCACCCCTATGATGCACGTGCTGCAGCTAGGTGCCCCGTTTGCCCACTTATATTTGCTCTAACCTGAGGATTCTTCACTGTTTTGGCCATGGATTCTGTACTGGCGAATGCTGTGGGAGGGATGAGAGGTGAGGCCAGGCTGTCTCTCAAAGCTGAAATGATGTAGGAAGCTTTCTGGGGCAGAAGTTGGAGGTGAGTCTGGAAGGAAGGGTAACTGATAAGAACCTGGGTACTTGAGAGAGGAAGGCAGGGCACGAGTGGTGCTGGGAAGGGACCGTGCATGGTCCCATTTGGGTGTCCTGTCAGCCTGGCTCCCTCCCACCTCGGGCACCTCCAGGAGCTGGGCTGGGACCTGCCAAGGGAGGGAGTATGGCCAGGCTGAGCTCTGGCACTGACCATCTGCTGCCTCCTAGGATGAAGAGGGTGCCATCGTGATGCTAAAGCGGCATTTGCGACAGCAGCGCACAGTGGAGGAGTACGGGCGGAACATCAAGCAACTGGCCGGCCGGGCCCAGAGCCTGCTGGCCGCAGGCCACCCCGAGGGGTGCGTGCACCTTGGGCCAGGGGCACCACTGGCCCATATCCCAACAGCTCTAAGAAGGGGAGATGGGAACAGTTTTTCCCAAAAGTAGGAGTTTGAGAATACTGCTTCTGGGCTGTTGGTTGGCCCAATTGCATCTTATGCCTTGGTTTTGTGTAACTTTAAACTGAGCCAGCTAAGGCCTGGCTTGCAGAAAGATTAGAGAGTGGAATAGCAAAACTACCCTCTTGGTGAACTGGGAACTCCAATCTTTTGAAGAGTTAGAATATGCTAAGAGACACTGACGGCTAATTTGCTTCTCTTTTTATGGTCTAGAAGGTACTTTAGGACCTCACAGTGTCTCAGCAAAATCATTACATAAGAGGGAAAGAAGAAAACCCATACCCATCTGCACTGTTGAGTTGTGTGGATTCTGCATAAATGGAATCCAATGGGCCAGACACTTCCAGCTGCCCCCAGTCGCTGTCCTGTCCTCAGCTGCCTTTAGGGCATCCACCACTGTGGGTCCTCAGCAGCCACCCCAGACATCTCCCAAGGAGCCCCAAGGACTGAGTCCTTAGTACGGCCTGTCTCTCCCTGGAGCACTAAGCAGCGGCATGCTCTGGAGCCCCACTCAGACAGTGCTGCTCCATCAGCCTTCGTGGGAGAATAATGAAGAAGTTCACCGCTCACTTCCCAGTGGGAACTGGTGGGAGGTACTGCTCTAGAACAGAACTCCAGGACACAGTTCTGTCATCCCCCGAGGCATCGTGGTCTAAGGGGAAAGCTTCTGTCATTTCTCCTGGGCTTCCCTTCCCCACCTACCTCTGCCAGGGGGGCTGGGAAGCTCCTGACTGCCACCTCGAAGGGCTTTCTTGGCTTGAATTCCAGGGAAGAGATCATCAGACTCCAGGGCCAAGTGGATAAGCAGTATGCCAGGCTGAAGGACATGGCAGAAGAGCGCAAGCGGAAGCTGGAGAACATGTACCACCTGTTCCAGCTGAAGAGGGAGGCCGACGACCTGGAGCAGTGGATTGCGGAAAAGGAGCTGGTGGCCTCTTCCTTGGAAATGGGGCGAGACTTTGACCACGTTACCGTGAGTAGTCACAGCGCTGCTTCCATTGTCTTCATCCAGTGCAGTAGACACAGCAGCCACCATTCTAGACACACACGACACCCCTGCCAGTTGCAGTGCTGCACAGGACACAGGCACGCCAGTGTGCGGCATGGCCCAGGACTCAGGCCTGCCCTGGAGAAGGCGTGAGGGTGTGGCTCCAGGTGGTTGTAGTCGCTCCCTGGGAATGTCCACAGCTAGTGTGTGATGATGCCTGCCTGCCCTGAACCCCCGTAACCATGTTTCTGTCTGCCCCGTGTCCAGCTGCTCCGGGACAAGTTCCGGGACTTTGCCCGAGAGACTGGGGCGATTGGGCAGGAGCGGGTGGACAACGTGAATGCCGTCATCGAGCGGCTCATTGATGCAGGCCACAGCGAGGCGGCCACCATCGCCGAGTGGAAGGATGGGCTGAATGAGATGTGGGCGGACCTGCTGGAGCTCATCGACACGCGCATGCAGCTGCTGGCTGCCTCTTACGACCTGCACCGCTACTTCTACACTGGCGCCGAGATCCTGGGCCTCATCGACGAGAAGCACCGTGAGCTGCCCGAGGACGTGGGTCTGGATGCCAGCACAGCCGAGTCCTTCCACCGGGTGCACACCGCCTTCGAGCGGGAGCTGCAGCTGCTGGGTGTGCAGGTGCCTTCTGCCCCTCGCTGACCACCCGTGGGCACCAGGGCTCTGTCTCTAATGTCTTCCCCCCTACCAGCTTCCTGGCCCAGTGTCTGGGCCCCACCTGACTACTACAGGAGAAACCCCAGAATGGGTACCAGGGGCAAGGAGCACTGGTTTTCAGATTTTCTTTAGTATCAGAAGTAGTTCTTTAAACTGAATCCTCACAAAAAGCCAATGCATAAAATTCCTTACAGTGTAGTTTCTCTGGTTGTACAATATTATTAAACATATACACAGCACTTCTCTAGCACCAGGTACCGTTCTAAGCAATATATGCAGTCGCCGGATCCTCATAGCTACCCTCTTAGGTAGCTACTAATGTTGCCTGCTTTTTGTAGGTGAGGAAAGTGAGGTATAGAGGGTCAGTAAGTTGCCCAGAAGCATGCAGATGTGCAGGAGCTGGGACTCAGACCCTGGAGGTCTGGCCATAGACCCCACATGCATAGCGTGGTTCAGCCTTTCCACATGGGAGCTGGGGGGCCCCAAGGTCTGATGACTAGATCCCCTCCCCCATCACTGGGGTGCCCTCTGAGGCACTTCCACATGTCTGTAGTGTTCCCCAGAGTCCACTGAGATAGAAAGTGCAGGGGTGAGGGGCCCCAGCTGACAGGAGCTCCCCAGGCTTCCAGAGTAGTAGGGACAGGTGAGCTGGCTGAGTAGTCCTGGGCCAGCCCAGCAGGGTTTAGGGAAAGAACACCAAGAGAGGTTGGGCCCCTGGTTCAGACAAAAGGGAACCTCTTAGGGAGTTATCCTCCAGCTGGAGGTGGGGCCTGGTGTGTGGCTGTTGTTCTTGGGGTTCCAGAGCCCCTGAGACAGGCGTAGCCCCATTAAGGTCTCAGGAGTGAGGCTTTATTGTGCCTTGGGTTGGCCTCATCAGGGGATCTGGTGCAGCCCCTTTCCGAGAGGGGCATCTTGCAGAGTGGTTACAGATGGGACTCAGGAGCACGGTGCAGATCCCCGCTGTACCCCTTTACTAGTGCAAGGGCCAGTTACTTAGCCTCTGTGTGCCACAGTTTCCTCATCTCAAATACAGGGATAGTAACAGTACCTCTTCCATGGGGTTGCTATAAAGATAGAGAGTTAATACTTACAAAGTGTTTGGAACAGTGCCTGGTACACAGGAACTCTCATTACTGTACTTCTGAGGAGATCGAAGGACGTGGAGTCCCTCTCCCAAATCCTCCTCAAAGGGGCGCCTTGTCCTGTAGCAACCACTGGGTGGGAGGCTGCAGACCCTACTTTCCAGCAGGGCCCTGGGGAGGGAGGCCAGGAGGATACAGGTGCTTGAGATGCCTCTGTCTAGGAAACAATGTCTGGTGTTGCCTGGCCATAGGTGCAGGAGTTCCAGGATGTGGCCACCCGCCTACAGAAGGCCTACGTTGGGGAGAAGGAAGAAGCCATCCAGGTCAAGGAGCAGGAGGTGTCTGCCGCGTGGCAGGCTCTACTCGATGCCTGTGCCGGGCGCCGAAACCAGCTGGTGGACACGGCAGACAAGTTCCGCTTCTTCAGCATGGCCCGCGACCTCCTCTCCTGGATGGAGAGCATCATCCGGCAGATTGAGACCCAGGAGAGGCCCAGGTAAGGGGAGCAGCTCCACTGCATGGCAGGCGAGGCTGGCAGGCCAGGGTGCTGCACCAGGCAGGGCTCCTTCCAGGAGGGGCAGTCCAGGACTGTTGGGTGCATGGGGACCCCTGGGGGGCACCTAAGGCTGGTCCAGGCAGAAATGGAGCAGCTCAGCTTCTGTTGGGAGGATCAGTTGTTTCAGAGCAAGGGGAGTCCTGACTGTGGGGAAAGACATTTGTCACTCGGATTTTCCAGTGGGGGCAGTGACCACTGTTGTCAGTGAAAATTAACAACTCGCACGTCCAAAGCTGGGCAGGTCCAAGACTGTTCACTCTTCTCCCAGTGCTGGGATGTGGGGGGCCACTCCCCCGAAACTCGGAAGAAGCTGATTGTCTGTGAGAGGTGAGGTCAGACACACAGGCAGTGAGAGCCCCGGCAGGGATTGGAGCTCTCCCAGGTTGGGTCCTCTAGCAATTATTCTGGCCCATCTCTGCCCCTCTGCCCCCAGGGCACCTGTTTTGATGGCCATACTTTTATTTTTAACATCTTTGTTGAGGTCTAATTCATCACAATCTAAGTTTAGATTTTCCACCCCATTCCCAACAGCCACTCCCCATCCCCTCTCCTCCCCAACCCAGGCAGCCACTGTTCTTTCTGTCTCGAGATTTGCCTGTTCTGGAAATTCCATATAAATGGAGTCATACCATACATGGTCCTTTGTGACTGGCTTCTTTTACTTAGCCCAGTGTTTTCAGTGTTCATCCATGTTGTAGCATGAATCAATACTTCATTACTTTTTATTGCCAGCTAATATTCCCAGGCTTCTTTGGGGGTCCCTATACCCCCTGCCCATGCCCTGGCCAATGGAAGGCATAGGCATCAGTGGTCCTGCTGGGACTGGGCTGGCAGAGGACTTCTTGGCTGGCCAGAGAAAGAGAAAGGAGCTGGGTCAGACTCCCAGAGACAGGTGCCTCTGGTCGTGACTCGGGCAAGCCAGAGAGACCCAGAGTTTCCTTCAGCCCAAACTGCCTGTCCTGCCTTTGACCTCCTGGTCCCTAGGGATGTCTCTTCTGTGGAGCTGCTCATGAAGTATCACCAGGGCATCAGGGCAGAGATCGAAACCCGGGGCAAGAACTTCAGCGCCTTTCTGGAGCTGGGCAAGTCACTGCTGCAGCGGCAACACCAGGCCTCGGGAGAGGTGAGGGGGCTACGGGGACAGAGACGTGCACCCTGCATCTCCTGGTGCCCACACTCGCCAGCCTTGCAGCATTCAGAAAGGAGGCTCTGGGCTGTGCTTTTTCTTTTTTTTTTTTTTCTTTCTTTTTTTTTTTTTTTGTCTTTTGTCTTTTTCCGTGTCCGGCAACGGATCACAACCCTCAGTGTTGCCCCCGTACCGGACCGGGGACCGGCAACGGGACCGCAACCCTCGGTGCTGCTCCCGCGCCTCGCTCAGCCAGTGAGCGGGAACTGGTCTGTATGTGGGATCCGAACCCTCGGACGGGAGCGCCGCCGCGCTTCCCAAGCGGCGCACTTATCCAGTGCGCCACTGGGCCGGCCCTGGGCTGTGCTTTTTCTGAGGAGCTTGTCTTTCATTCATGGAGAATCGGGGCTGCACTCAGGCCCAAGAATTAGAGCCATACCAAGCCCATTCCCTGCCATAAAGAGCTGGCCACTTTGTGAAGGAGAGCAGGCTTGTAACCTATCCAACACCCACATGTGTGCACGCTTTGGAGTTGGTGACCCCATTTCACAGGTGAGGCGCGTGTGCCTCAGAGAGGTTGAGTAACTTTCCCAAGGCTGCACAGCTGACAAGTAGCAAGGTCAAGACTTGAAGCCAGAACTGTGGGACCAAACCTGGCATTTTTTGCAGGACCCATCTGTGTACTGCCTCAGGTGGGGGAAGCTCTACCAAAGCCTGAGCTTTTCTCCCATCCCTCCCCACAGATCAGTGAGAAACTGCAGCAGGTGCTGTCCAGAAGGAAGGAGATGCATGAGAAGTGGGAGGCCCGCTGGGATCGGCTCCGCATGTGTGAGTACAGCCTGGGAGCTGGGGAACCCTGAGGAGGGGGATGCAGGGGCCAGACCATATTGGAGTAGGGGAAGGGGGCATGGATTTTCACCACTGCCTAGAGAAGAGACCCCACAGCACTGCTCATTGGCAAAGCTCTGGGGCCAAGGGCCTCAGGTCCAGGCAGAAGATCTGAGTAGACATGCTGCTGGAAGCCTACCGCTAACCAGCCAGCATGCTCTGCTCCCTGCCCACCCTCTGTCCTGCTTGTCCCAGCCCAGTGCCTGGGCTGGTGTCCCTGCTGAGCTGTGACCTGGGATGAGGGCAGGGTACGGCTCTAGCACATCCCAATGTTTGCTCTGAGGAGTGTCAGGCACAGAAGGAGCTCTGTCCTGCTGCAGCTGGAGGCTAGCAGAGGTAGAGAAAATCTCATCACTCAGGTAGGAACTAGAGCAAGAAGGCCCGGACTGGTCCCATGGTTGCTTGTTGATGATCATGCGAGACAGCCAAGGGCTGGGAAGAGAAATCAGGCAGAAGACTGCTCCTCAAAGAGATATCTAAACTGCATTTTATTTTTAGAGTAGAGTTTGTTCTAATTAATGTGTTTTAAAAATATAACCATTGATGGAGAATGGGATAGGAGCCCAGTTTGGGGATGGAGTGGCCTCAGGCAGCAGGGTGCCCGTGCAGCTTAGGGACACCCGTGCAGGCCTCCTGGTGGCCACCCCTGGTCCCGGCAGGAGCAACTACTGAGTGCTAACAGGCTCCTGGCCTTGTGGTGGATCTGTGGCTTGTTCTCCGTGGCAGTGCTGGAGGTGTGCCAGTTCTCGAGGGATGCCTCCGTGGCCGAAGCGTGGCTGATCGCCCAGGAGCCCTACCTAGCCAGCCGGGACTTTGGACACACAGTGGATAGCGTGGAGAAGCTCATCAAGAGGCACGAGGCTTTTGAGAAATCCACAGCCAGCTGGGCAGAGCGCTTTGCTGCCCTGGAGAAGCCCACCACGGTGAGCCAGGCACAGCGCTGGGGGCTTGGGAGATGGCAGCCATGCCTGGGGACGGGAGGCTCAGTCAATAACTCTGGCCAATTATTTGGTGCCTAGGATGATGTGAAAGGCTTGGCGAGCTGGGAGAGAGGGTAGGAAATACAAGTGTTATGACTCAAGGAAGAAAGAACACCAGATTGCGTTGGTGTGCAGGGCTGTGGGTTGCAGCAGTCACCTGAGAATGCAGCTCCCCTTTGTGGCTGCTCTGACCCTCAGTCTTTTCCTCCCGCAGCTTGAGCTGAAAGAACGCCAGACGCCAGAGAGACCCATGGAGGAGACTGGGTGAGTGGTGGCCATGCCTCCCAGGAGCCTGTGCTCTGGCAAGGGGGTAGGGGGGTACTTTCAATCAGAAACCAGCCCCCTGACAGTTGAACCAGACACATTTGACCTCTCATACCTGGGCCACTTCTCAGAGTGTCTAGAGCTTGAAGTCAGAGGAGCTTTTGTGTCCCAAATCACGGGTGGCCTGGAGACTGGGCACCAGAAGAAGGGGGTGGAGAGTGGGGACTGCAGCTCCCCTCCCTGGGAGCCACTTGAGCACATATCCCAAGGCCGTGTGGCCTGGAACCTTGTCCATTTTGGCAGTCTCTGCCTTAACTTTTCCCATTAAACCTCTGGTCAGCTCCTTGCTAAGCACCCTCCAGGCTGCCAGGACCTCTGGATGGGGGGATCCTTGGTGCATGGGTGGGAAGCCAGGACATGGAGGCAGGTGCTGGCCTCAGACAGGTGCTTGTTTTTAAAGAGCAGCTGTGTCTTCCATAGGCCTCAAGAGGAGGAAGGCGAGACAGCAGGGGAGGCTCCCCGAGTTCCCCACCGTGCGGCCACCGAGAGAACGTCCCCGGTCAGTTTCCTGTCCCATTTGTCTAGTTCCTGGGAGTCGCTGCTGCCAGAGCCCGCTCATCCCTACTAGGCTGAGCCAGGGCAGAAGGACACGCATGC